TCAGTCCACAATTCCCATCACTGGAAAGAAGCCCTATAAGCTGTGCCAGGGTGGGTTAGGATTTCTGCCTGCTTTTCTGTTCTTTTGTTTGCTTCTCTCCCAAGAGCTTTGAAAGTCTGAGCTTCATCCTAGTGTGGAAGAGGGGGGAAAAAAGCAAAAACCCTTGTGGGCCAGGACATTGTGGTGCCCGTCTTGTGGGTGTGCATGACTCTCTCAGAGAGATGTGTAGGGAAAGCAAAGCCAGCAGCAGATGTCTCCGTGGCCTGTGGCGAGGGGAGCGAGGGTGCGTGCAAGGGGCTGACGAATTCCTGCCTTCACAAAGACACCCCAACTGGAATTTATGAGAATCCATCCACAATAAAACGCTTTTAACTCGCTGTCTGGCTGTCAGCCGGCTGCATCCCAGGAACGGTGGCATGAGGATGAGGCTGCCACATCGCACATTCCTTGCTATCACCGCGGCTCCTCTCACGATGAAACAAAATCTCCCCTTGTCTGACAGTTCTGAGAACTGAAGCAAGAAAACCTCGGTGATGTTGCTGTACTTGGAAGCCCGTGCAAAGCATGGCAGTCTTCTGAGCAAAACTTTTCCATTGCTCGTGCTGCAAAGTCAGGATGCAAATAACAAATTGGCAGGCTGGAATTTCGGAAGATTCTGCACATGTCTGAGCGAACAGAGATGTTACCGCAAGATTGCTGAAAAAAATTAGATTGATGATTTTGTTGTCTGGAAGATGTGTATCATCAGCAAAGGCATAGAGCAAGGGCAAGTCCCTCCCTGGCCCTGTGGAAACCCGTGGGAAGGCTTGGTGGGACTCAGTCCAAACGTTGCTGGTGTTACTCGGGCAGGTCAGGGGCAGAGGCGTTACTGGGGTCTGCCCTGCCTGACCTGTGCAGTTTTAAGCCTGGGAATTATGAAAATAATATATTGCAGGACACCATGGTGTTAATGTTATTTTTCTGACCAGATCCACTCAATAGGCCTAACAAATCTCAGCAATGAGTCAATTTTCAATGGTCAGTGCCAGCACAGAGTGACACTGCAGACCACAAGGCAGAGAGAAATGCTGAGACAGCCTAATGGAGCATCCAGCTCAGTCCAAACAACTTACATGTTTTGTTTTGTTCTTTTAATTCTTGAAAATAATTAGGAAAGGATGGCAAATTTCACCAAAAGTGAAAGAAAACCACAGAGGTCTTTGTCTGTGGATTAAGCGTTTTCAAGAACTAGCAAGAATAAATGTTTTCCTGTTTTCACTGTTTACTGTACCTTAGGACCAAGCCACATAGGATATTTGTTGAGGCTCCAAAGTTTTCTTATTTGGACTTGGTTGTTTTAGAGAACTTGTTTTGCAGGACTGCACATCCCAAGGAAGGAAATTAAGGTCAGAGATGAGAAAAACCCACCTAAGGGCCTGAAATAATTTTCATTTCTCCAAGACCACCCTGTGTGGGAATGATACATTTAAAAATGGGTGGAACCTCTAAGCCTGGAATTGTATCAAGTTATTCATGAAAAATCTCTGAGATCTTTGTGTGGACCAAGATATTTGGGTGGTACTTTCTCACTGTTTCTTCAGAAAAGGCGCTGTGGCCTCACAAACTGAAAACTAGCCTTGCTTTTTCCCTGATTTTAAAAATAACTGTGTATCTTGAAAAGCTGTCTCAGCAGTTAGTGAAGGAATGGAAAAAAAGTCCATTATATCCCCATGGTTTCATACAGTGCAGCTGTGCTAACAGAGTGCACAGAGACTGAGACCAGAGAAAAGGCGCAAAATAGTCCATGAAATGAGCAGTTGAATTTAACAATAAAGCTTCACGTAATGCAGAGATCGATTGTCCAGGTACCTGATTGCAGATGGCAGGTTTTCGCCATTAGTTTTTAGGGGAAAAAAATCCAGAATATTAATAAATATGAGCACTTTTTATTAGTAATTTTTATGCTGAAATCAGTGGGGAAATTATCATCTTATAGAAAATCTTTCTTACATTAAATTAACATATTTAAATATTCTTGCAATATATTTGGATGAAATAGCCATATCCTGTTTTGATTTTCCTTCTGGTAGAATGTCATATTTGAAAAGAAACAGGTTGATAGTGAATTAATTGTATTTTTATAATATTTGTTGGGGGTTTTTTTGTAATATTTTATTGTAATATTTATTGTAATCATTATTTTGTTATATAACATAGTATAATTATTTATATAGCATATTATAATTATTGTAACAGATTTATTAAATCAGTTTAAAACTAACTTTCTTTTCTTTTAAAGGGGCAAGCATGCATCAACATGCAGCTTTCAAAAGTCCCTCTTACGTCTTGGTACAATTATTAGTGGTTACTAATAATTAAAAAAATATTAGTGCAGGCATAATAGAATGAATATCGACCAAATGTAATATGCAGTTGTCACAGTGGATCTATTCCCCCTGACTCAACTCTAACATGCTGGTGGTTAGTTTATAACCCTCTTTAGGTTACAGCATTTTAACGTTTCTCCAGTGTTTATTTATTCTCTTCCCAAAGAATGTTCTGAAATATCAAGTTTACAACCTGTGGCTCATGTGATGGCAGTGGAAACAATTAAGCCAGAGACTTTCAAAGCCACCACTGGGATTTTGATGCCCATAGTCATTAATTTTAATAAGAAGGGAGCTGCCAGTCGTCTTAAGTGGTTTGTAAAATCTCAACCCATAAAAACACCTCTCTACTGGTTCCAGTTTACAGGGAGCTCAGAGCAAGGTAAACACATGTAAGAAAATAGTAGGTGTTAAAAGGTGGAAAGTGCGTGTTCAGATATCCCTAAAACCACTCAAGGAATCAAAGGGCAGCCCCAGCCTTGAGCTGGCACAGGGGGGCTGCTCCTTCCTGCAGCATCCTGGGGAGTTACTGGCTGGACAGAGCATGAGGCACAGAGAAGTCCATGGGAACAGAAATCTTGGCCACAGCTCAGTTCCAGTGGCTTCCTGACACCCTCTGGTCTCTGCTGCCATCTCAGGACCCACCCATGGTGTCTGTAGGTTCCTCATCCAGGTCCTCCCTACCTGCCTAAGCTCTTCTGTCCAAGTCCACACTGTGTTATCCTCCAAGCTGATAAATGGCTGGGTTTGGATGTTGATAAAAATTGAGAACTCTCCAGTGTGGCCTGAGAGACCCCCCAGTGCAAACATCTTCATTTCAATGTGAGCTTCTCTTCATTTACGTGAGTCTGGAGGTGCCTTTGCTTCAGCCATGAGCCTGTGCCATAGCTGAGGAAATCTTAAAGATCTTGGAGAGCACCAAGAGCTCTCAAAGGAAATTGCTGCACTGGGGAAAACTCACCCTCAACATGAAACATGAAAGAATGTCTTAATGGGGAAAACAATTGAGAACTGGCAGATCTGTGATATAAAATAGAGCATGGAGTGAGTATGAATGAGCTTGGAAAGGACTCGCTGGGAGGCTGAATGCTTCGGAAAAGAAGAAAAAAAAGGGATTTTCTTGTGTGTTTTATTAATAAAGCCAACAATGAAGAATTTTAGAATTAGTTTTAGAAAGCTTTCTGTTTTTTCTCTATCTGTTGTATGATCTCTGAAGAACTTCATGAATGTTGGCTACAAGTGACGATTACTGTAGTATTTGCCAGTGAGCCTCACAGTAACAATAATTAATTAACAGTAGGTGTTGGAAGGACTTTTGGATGAAACACAATGCAGTGGAAATAGAGGTGACCATCAAGACTGGTATTGTAACAGACTTCAAGAAAGTCAAAAAGAAAAAAAAAAGCTTCCATTAGTAGTGGATGTGACTTTTTTGGAAGAGAACAAAATGTTCCATAAATGAAACATGTGGTTTCACTTGCGGCACATTTTGTACATTGTCACCAATGAAGTTTAGGATTTTTTATTACTTTTTCATTAAAATGTCTTACTGGTTTCACTCAGGAGGCAAAATTTTTCACGTGGCTTTAATTGTTTCTGTCATAAAAGTCATAGCATCCATGTAATAGAAATAGTTTTGCAGACCACAGCTTCATATTGCCTATTAATTCTCTCCCATTTTCTGTACATACAACTCATTGGCCCATCCCAGGGACAGGAAAATTTCTTGCAATTAAGACTCAATATGAACTTCTACTGAAGTTAGGGGGGAAAAATAACTTTATGTCAGTCCTGGTTTATTAGATTTTTGTTGCAGCTATCTTAGCTCACAATAAGTTCACATGGCTGCATACCAAAGGAGAGAGTTTATATTGACTTTACTCTAAAATCAGTGAAACTCTAGAAGATGAAAATAAAAGGTCTTTTTCTGCATCATTCCAGTCATGTACAAAAAGGTGGTAATATTTCAGACAGGATTGAAGAGTTCTGGCAGAATTGTTTCAAGGAGGCTGTGGACAGGTCATTTACCCCTTTTTTCGTCATTACCTGCTGGAGTTCAGGTCTCACATCTCCCATACCAGCTGCCAAGCTTCCATGATTCCATGTTTCTGTTGTCAGCCTAGGATTGTCCCCAATCCTGACTGGATGAGGAGACATAATTCTTGTCGCAGTTAAAACAATTACTTGTTTTCTGCAGATGATATACAAAGTTGGGGAAAAAAAAAAAGAAAAAAGAGATGATAACTTGTGTTGTCTTGTTAATTTAAGATCGTCTCCTCTTCAGGTATCTGTTTCCCTCAAACAGAGTCCTTTGCCAGCTTGGAGAGAATTTTGTCATTTGACCTTCAGCCCAGCAGGGGAGTCATTGACCCCCACCACAGACTCTAAGAAGTCATTGAAATGCCAGAAAACAGCCACAGAGTATCTGTTGCCTTTTCCCCGTTTTTCAGTTAAGTGTTTACTTGAAAGCTTCCTAGGAAATGACAGTGCTGTCTTTACTTGCTGCCCCAGAGCAAAGGCCTTGTGCACCTCCTCAGCAGTCAGGGGCACCCACCAAGCAGTGCAGTCTTCTGCTTTCACCTTTGTTTTGGCACCCTTCCTCCTTTACTCATATTTAAACACTGTGTTTTGCAGTTCAAGGACAGCAAAGACAAGCCCAGCCTTGGAGGGACCCTCAGTGACAGCCCTGCCTCCTGTCCAGCTTTCTGAGCAGGTCCCACTGGCATCTCCTTCCCTGAAGCCGCAGCAGATGGACGAAGAAGACAGCCTGTCTCCTCACCTCTTGTTGCCTGACAGCATCAGCCAGCTGGAGGAGTTTGGCAGGCAGAAGAAATGGCACAAGAAGCAGCACAAACACCATCGCCAGAGGCAGTTCAATGACCTCTGGGTTCGGATAGAAGACAGGTGAGTCATGGCTGGTCCCTGTCCTCTTCCTGCTGGCTCCTGACTCGATGCTCTTTGCAGATCCCAGTTCTTGTTGATTACACCATGGGGAGGGTTGGATAAAAGCTAGCTGGGAGACATAGGGAGTGAGATGGTGTTTTTGTTGCCTCATGAAGAACTAGGAGGAAAATAGGCATGCTCATAGGCATGCTTGATCAAAAAGTAAAGAGGAAAAAAATGTTAATGCTTAAAATATTTAAAATACACAAAAACAAAGACTTGTCAGCATAAAAAACAGGAAAAGAACAACAATAGAAAATACTCTGTGCTCATCCTTTATCTTCCAATAATTCTTTTCCTATCTGTACTAGCAGTTTTCAGCCCATTTTCCAACCATACAGAGTATCCTGAGAGTTTTTAAGATTCTGACAAATCTGACTTTCAACCTTCTTAACTGCTGTGGGGCTGAAATGTTTTAACATCTCAGACTGCATTGAAAATAGTAAACTGAAACAAAATGAAGTACTTAACTAAATCCTCTATGTGAAGAGAATGGAGGTAGGCACTTTTCCCTGGCTGTTCCAGTCTTGGTCTGAGGTTAAAAACTCCCATTCAGTGTTTGAATAAGAGCTTTCATGTTTGACCAGGGCTTCTCAAAGTGTGCTTTTAGGATTCCTGAGCAATTTATTCTCCCACCTTTAAAGCTTAGTGCCTTTATCCAGGCCAATTCATGGGCAGATAAACAGCCACAATGTTTATTGATCTTCTAACAAGCAAAAGGAACTAAGTAATATGTTGGGAGCTGGCTGCTCACCTACACATATAATGATTGTCTTTGAGCATTACATATTCCTATTTTCATAGGACCTAAATTCCTTGCAGGTCTCTCAGGGGCTTCTCCATTTGCTAAGAAAAAAAACTTCACATATTTGTGTTTTCAGGGTTTTTTTATTATTATTATGTTTATTTTTAATGGAGCAGTTACCTCATTTTTTGTAGTTTATTGTTTTCTCAGGGTGAATGATGTAAGGGTTGCTATTAAGGTGGTGCATATTAATGTAATAAGGCTGTTTCTGAGGTCAGTGCCAGCCTTGTAAGAAGGATTCATATATTTTTAAAGTGTATTCAGTGGTTGGATCCCCTCCACAGAGGATGTTTAAGCATGAACTAAGTGGCATTTGGTTCACCATAGCTGAGTGCCTTAAATATGAGGGAATTTTCTGTCCCTCTGCCTGGGGGGTGCTGACTTGTGGTGTCCCATAATGTCCCAGCATTTCACAAGTGGTCCAGTTCCTTACGTGTTGTACAAGTGAGGTTCTTAAATAGATCTGGTGGGAGCCTGGCACTTGGGCACAGTCCTCCTACCCCTATCCTATCTATCCAGAAAGGATATTGGATACTGGCAGTGGAAATGTGGGAGCTTAAAGTGGTGCTTATGCACCTTTTGCTGGTTTTATTAAATACTCCTAGGAAAGATACTTAAGAGGTAGTTTCGAAGGTTAGAATTAAATTATTTTCTCTGGGCTCCTGTAAGATTTCATCTGAATCAAAGCCTTTTATCCCTCTATTTCCATTTCATAAGGCTGGAGATTGGGATAAGGAAACTCAAGTTTCCGCTCCCACCACGCTGGTGATGAAGCAGACACTGTGTGTTGCCTGCCTTGCTGAAAGATCCCAGGGAGATATTAGTGGGAGATCACAGGCCTAGAAATAAGGGAAGGCTGGAAGAAGGGAAGCCTGCCTTAGTGCTTTCAGATGGTTTTAGTGCTTCTACAGTTCTGGAGTAACTTCTGGTGTTTTCCTGGAAACGAAGCAAAACAAAAAATACAAAACACAAAAAAATACAAGTTCACTAAATCAGAGACTCACAACCAGCTCTGGTTTCTCCATAAATTGGATGGAGTCTCAATTTTCATAAACCAGCTGCTGCATATTGTGCTTTTGGCAGTTGGGTTTCATCAGCATTAATTGCTAGCTGGACCCTGCACAAAGCAATAAAGAGTGAGCTCTCTCTAACTGGTTCCTTTCTGATCGGCAAGAAAAGAGCAGAAATGTGTGTCTGTGACCAGGCCTTGTATGGTGATAATTTTTGGGAGGAATCAAGCAGGGTGGCTGAACTTACAGGCAATGGAGTGTTACCTGTGCAGGAGATAAACATGTGCACTTCTTTGCATCGCCTCGGCGATGTTTCAGCAGTGAGACTTAGCACTCATCGTTGAAGGGTAATTGGTATCCTAGGGAGTTCTGGCTCTGGCCTGTCCCAAAAATCCATTGTGCATTTTCATACACTTCAGTTGGAGTCCCCCATATTTTGTACGGACTGAGGTCTCTGCATTCAGTATTAACTTGAGCTATGGCCCCATTATTTCCAAATGGTTTATTTTCCAGTTCCCTAACTCACCAGTTGTCACCTGAAACTTGAATTGTTCACCTTTGAGACAAAGTAGAGGGATTTAGGTCTTTGTTATGGCTTTTGGGGGGAAAGCTGCATAAAGCTCATTGTTTCCATGCGAGGTCCCCAGAATTCAGCTGTTGGAGCTGCCTTTCAACCTGAAAAGTCAAAGAGAAATATACAGGTGGAGGACAAATCCAGGCGAATTTAAACCAGGTTATTGATTCCTGTATGAACCTCATTGAACTGTGAAATGACTGTGGTTCATACAGCTCTTTTCCAAAGCTTTATTGACCATGGATTAGAGGACTTTATGAGCCATGAATTGCAGGGCTTTTATGGACTACGCATTTCTAGGCAATCTCATACACTTCCATGGAAATCTTAGGGTGTTTTCTTAAGCTACCAACACAGAAACAAAGGAAATGAATGCAGGAGAACAATCTTAAAGGAACATCAAAGGTCTGACTCCAACCTATAAAAGCCAGGAAATCCATAATTAATGGTTCCACTAAGACTTCAGCTCTCACAGTCATTCGGGTCTGATCCAAGGTTATGGCTACAATCTGAAATGGCCTCGTGAAAAATGAGTCATCATTTAATGCCACACATCATTATTAGTATTTATTTTCAGTTATACCTTGGAGATTGTCCTTTTCTTTTTGTTCTGTCTTAACAGCTGAGGCATTGGAATTGGCACCCCTGGGTGGACAGTGTTTAGATTTGTGTGTTGGAGGGTTAGTACTGCTCTGGAGGATGAGGAAGCTTCTGCTCTGTCTCCTCCCTGTCTTTGACAGAGCTAAGATTTGCTGATCTCCTGGGTAATTGGCTGCACTGAAGGCTATTAAAATATAAAAAATGCTGATGAAATGTGTGGTTTCCTCTCCCTTCTGCCTCCTTCCCCCAAAATCTAAACAAACTGAAAAAGTCCTGCCTGACTGCAGTTTCTGTTTGAAATGGCTTGTCAAGAATTGAAATTAAATGGAGATTTCAAGTAGCAAGATTTTTTTTTTTTCATCAACTACTTGATTTTGCAGAAATGTGCAGATCTGAAGTCTGTCCTTGGGAGAAATTTGAACTCAGACAAAACTCAAACCCTGGCTATCTCCCATGGCCAAAATCCAGCAGGGAGGGGAGGCAAAACCCTCAGGCTGCAAGGCTGCAGTTTGGCATAGAGAGTATCATTGTTCCTGTGTTAGCTAGGCTTCCCCATCTAATATGAATAATTAATCACAGATCATTCACTGGCTTTTCATGACAAGAGGCTCAGTTAATTGAAAGAATAGAGAAATGCCTTTGAGGCTTCAGAGTGGTCAGTGAAGGGCAGGTCGGGATTGCACCTTTGTTGTAGCAGGCAAATGGTTCAAGGTTACCAACAAAACCAGCCCAGGAGAAAGAGAACCTCTCCCAGCTGCTGGGGGGAGTTATCCTGGGACCTCAGGCAAGGAGAGAGGAAAGCTCCTGGGAAAAAGGAGGGAGGGGAGTTATTAACTGGGAGGGGTGAGGTTTAGAAAGAGCAACGGCAGCTAGGGGATATGAGAGAGAGAAGTGCAGTGGTGGGAAAGAAAAAAAGTAGAAAGGATGTAATGGGCAAGTTAATTCCCACTGCCAAGGAAGAGATCTGCGTGAAGGTGGTGTTTGGAAAGAAGCTAAGGACACACACACTTCACCAGGAAAGAAATTAAGGGAAAAGAATTGTTCTCAGAAGAGAAAAGAAGTAATTATTGTCCCAGATGGAAGCTCAGCCCTGCAAAAGCTGCCATCAGTGGGAAATGAAATGAATTCTCCCTGTAAGTAGAAATGGCAGCTCCCTGATAGCCCAGTGCAGACTATTCAACCCCAGATGAATGCAATAGCATCACAAATATCAATTTATTTTGGAAGGAGCAGTTGTTTTAGGGGAAAAAAAAACGTATACCAGTGATGGATGAAGGGAGACAATACATGATAAACTACACTGAGTTTGCCTGTACGGAGTGAACCTTATCAGTTTGGATGGAATTTAAGCACTTAGCCTGTTATCCTTTCTTTCAAGACAATGCAGTGATGGAAAACAGAACTCTGTCAATTCAGACAAACTTTTAATTCCACTTAACTGCATCTGAAAGGTAAATTTCAGTAAATTAATCCAAATTGCTTCCTTTTCACAACACATGGTGCTGAAATACAGTACTTAACTTCATTAAAGAAAAGACTGCTTTTATTTAGAGGAGACCTAGACACCTTTGAAGTCTAACAGGTAAATTGTGGTCAGATGATTTCCCTCCATATGGTAGCTTTGAGCTTGAAATTTCCATCACTGGGGCCTTGTTTGTTTAAATTACCCTGTCTGCCTCCCTGGTCAGGACACTGCTCAGGGAGTGCCTCCTGATGCTCGTGGGGAGGGGGATCAGTGCCTCCTCCAGCCTTGCAGCCAAGGAAGCAGTGCCACCTTTGCATTTATTTGCCCTGTGTTCAGCCAGGGATGAGGACACAGCTTCAGGAGCTCTCTGTCTCGTGGTGAACCTGTCTCCCTGTGGGAGCAGCAGGAGTGTGGGTGTGCTGGGAGCCCCACCTTCCCTCCCTTGTCCCACCTCATTGCTGACTGCAGCTTCAGTGGGTTGTGTGGCCCCTTGGCTTTCCTCCAGAA